GTGTTTCACCAGCCCTCCCCTTAAATTAATTTTCCATTCATTTTGTGGCTTAAAGGCCAAATGTAAAACCTAACAAAAACACCCTAAACTGATCACCCCCTTGTCCAAATAAAGGTGTCATGGTTTGTACTGAAATCATTTCAGACAGTGTGGCTGTGACAGGGATGGTGTGTTCAGGAGCCCTGAGTTCCTCACCCCAGGTCTGAGCTCTGGTGCTTCTTGCAGGTTGTTACACAGGGGGGATGAAGGGACTGAATGCTTTGGTGGCTGCTCCTGGCAGCACAAACTGCTTTTCACTCACTGAATTCTTTCACAGGAAATGCGTTTTGAGTTATTTGCCTGTGAAGTTGCTTTCCTTGCTGCTCTTCATTCGTGTTCTGTTGATGCTCCAGCTGCATGATGAGCTTTTGGTTTAGCTCTGCATTACACCTGGCTCTGCTCAAATTGCAAGGAGGAATTACATTAATTTAGCCAGTTCTACATTTCAGTGAACCTACTCTTCCAAATATTATTGTATGCAACGAGACTGATCCCAGGGAGTTAATATTTTAAGTGCAAAAGGTCAAGCAGGTCTTGTTTATGCTCCAAGGCCATGTCTGACAGTCACTTTTCCTGCTGTTTGCACCCATCAGTCCAAGTGATCTTTATGGTTGGCTAATTTAAAAAATACCCTGCAGAGTTATGCCATAGAGGAGAGCATAAAGGTGGCTGTACAGAGCTTCTTTGGGCTTTTACCTAAGGCAGTAATTCCTACCATGCCTCTCACCCAGCCTTCTGCTGAAATTATGATTGTCTGTCTATGCAATGCATTAACAGCAACCTTAAAAGTCTCCGTGTAGCTTCACTCTCAGCCATCTGCTGAGCTCTGCTTTCCCTCAAGTGCTCCAGTTGCATTGCTAAGATATAAAAACGACTAAAATTTAAATGATTCGCCAAAGCTCTTTTTTTCTAAAATATTTAACTTGTGTAGCATTGAGAGAACAGCAAAACCATGAGCAATAATCTTTACTTTGGACCTGTGCTGCAGGGCTGTGGTTACTGGGATGAGCACTGTTTCCTTGGGTGTGCACAGTCATTTTTGGCTCCTCATGCCTGGTGTCAGGTGCCTTTGATTGGTAAAGGCTTGTGGGCGTGGGTCCAAAAACCAGTCTGCATTTTAAAGTGGATTTATGGGAATTTCTACAAATACAGATGCCAGGCTCAGAATAATTTTTCACCTGTGAGCTTTCTGCTAAAATATTTACTCTGTATGTCTAAAAGCACATTTATTACAATACGACTCTGTAATGCATAGAGGGTTGCTTGTAGACTATGCATAGAATAAGAGAAGCAGAGACTTATATATTGTGTGTTCTTACTGCTGGCTTGCTCTGGATCACACATGTGTAAAAGCAGTCAAAAAAGGGCTGATTTTACAGTACATTAACTCCAAACAGTCTGCTTAAAAAGAGATAAAAAAAAAGAAAGAAGGGGGCCGTCCAACCATTGTTTGCTGTTTGTAAGACACAGCACTACAAAAGCTTGCTTTCGTTTTTTTTTCTGTTCCCTCTGATTTGAACACTCTCAGGGTCAGTAATAAATGTAACAAATACAAAAGTTCTTGGAAAAACCATGTATTTTTTCCCCTGAAGAAACTTTCACTTGCAAATCCATTTCTTTCAAAGAAAGGTGTTTGCAAGTGATTCTGCTTGGGTGTTTCATTAGTATGTCATCAATATGTTAAATTTTAATGTAAATATCACTAAATGAGAACTGTACATGCCTTTATTCAGTAAAGATATATTCTGCTGAGGAAAAGTTGAACTTAGAGTCAAAAAAAAAAAACCCAAAGTCTCTCTGCATTTGGATTTTGTGTGACCTGAATTTTCATACTGGGCATGGGCCTAGCAGGTTTATTTTCTTTAGAAGGCTTTGCAAGTGCAAGATTATAACAGTCAGAATGCCAGGACAGTGCTTACCGTGGAGGTGGGTCAGGATACATGATGCTGACCTGAGAAAGTATATCCAGATAGGAACCAAAGTCACAAGCCTGGGGAAACTCCTCGCTGCAGGTGGATCTCAGCTCTCCGGAAGAGCCACCGTGAGAGATGCCATCTGGAGCTGGAAAACAAGCAATTAATGTTTGCTGCTCTTTCCTCCCGTGGTTCGTTCCCCCTCGCTGTTTTCTAACACTGCCATGAATTTTTTTTGCTTTTGTATAAACATTTATCTGGGTAAGGGAGTGACATCTCCAGTTTGGGAACAAAATTTAAAGTCCAAAAGAAGTGAAATGCAAAGCAGTGTTTGCTGAAGGGGCTGCATGCATGGGAACCCTGACCATTCCAGGAGGGTTTTCAAAGGGTTTGTAGCTCTGTGTCTTGAGAGAATGCTGTTCTCAATAAAAAACACTGACAAAACCAGTAAAAGCTGGAAATTAGTAGAGAAAAATCATCCTGCTGCTGCTCCAGGGCTTTCCTATGGCTTCCACACAAGAGCTTCACCGCTCCAACTAACAACACACAAACAAGCCCAACACAGAAAATAGCACTGACTTCTTGGGATTTATGGGGCAGCTCCACGCTTGGGTAGTGTGGCACAATTTAGCTTCAGATTATTCTTTTGAAATATCTCTGAAAAGATGCTTTCCTTTTTTCATTTCTCCAGCACTGTTATTTCCAACAAGCAGTTTGAAAATTGCCCTGTAAATTTTTGCCTGGTTTCAGGGTTTATTGAAACTGAAATTTATTAGACCAGTAGATTTAAATGTAGTGATTTAATCTTAATGGTCAGTATTGTATCATGCCAAAATATTGCTGTTGGTGGGTGAAACAGTAACCCCAATTTAACCATTTAATCCTGCTGAAAATTAGGAACAATGGATGTTACCAGAATAGTAGACATAGTTTTCTGAATTTTGTTTTTTCATTTTTCCCTCTGTAATTGTCTATGGGAGTTTGCATTTCACTTATTTTGGATTCTAAATTTCGTTCCCAAAACAGAGAGTTTGATCCCTTGTCTGGATAAATGTTTCTGGAAAAGCCAAAAATAACTATTCCCAGCTCCAAGTGGGCAAACTGTAGGTAGGAAATGTGTTCATTTGACACAAAAATTCCCGGTCCAAATAGTTAAATGAAGTCCAGTTGACGTACCCCAGAAAACAAGATTTAAGATAATGTGTTTTTATCTTGCTCTCTATTATTGTCTTTTCTACATAAACACCAAAACAATATGCAAAGAACTGCACTCACAACAAACAGCAGGTAGAGAAGTTTGGCCACAGAGGATGTCATTGTTGATGTTCCACCATTTATAATATGAGTTTTTTAAAGCTGGACTTACAAAGTAACTTTGTAACTGTTTTTTTGGTTTTTTTTTTTCCCCTAAAGAGAAATAATTTGATTCTGTCATTTCCTTGACAAAATGGCTCTCAGCTTCTGGTCAGCAAACCCAAAAAGGGTCAAAAATATAACTCTACAATTAACTTCTTGATAGTCCCAAAATTTCTGAAAGTTTTTTGTAGGTTTTTTTTTTTTTGCTTGGTTGGTTTTTTTTGTTTGTTTGTTTGGGTAGCTGGGGTTTTTGTTTGTTTGTTTTGGGGTTTCTTGGGGGTAGGGAGCAGGATTTGGCACCTTTTTGACTCTGTAATGACAATGACCATTGTATGATGATGACCATGGTAATGACATTTATGTCATCAACTCTCGTGCTTGCAATGCCATTTTGGTGCCCCGTTTTTCTGTTTATATCCAGTGATTAATTTCTGCGGTCAGAAAAACAACATTTCCCCAGTCACTGATGTGGGTCGGTGCACGAACCGAAAACAGCTCTGGCTTTCCAACAGGTAGAAATGACATCACATGCTACACCCAGGCTATGGAGGGGTGTGAAAATGCAACAAAGAAGAAATCTTCTACCATATCAAGGGGAAATGATCTGTTCAGGACCTGCTGTGGGTACCGGCACCATGAACTGTGGGAACGCAGCCCCAGCACCGCTAAACTGCGAAGCTGCCCGTGACCAACATACCCTGCTTTTTATAGTGTTTATTTTTATTTGCCATGCCTTGCCCAGTGCCTGCTGGCTGTCACTCACCGTAGCCAGGCTCTGTCCGCGGCTGGGGCTCCTTCCTCAGGCTGCCCACCACGATGGTGGCGCAGGACAGGGACAGCACCAGCCCGATCACCACCCCCGCCACCAGCAGCGGGGACACCAGCAGGCTGCTGTCACCGCCGGCCTCCTCGGGGCCGGGGAGCTCGCTGCTTGCCGTGCTCTGGTTCAGGGCAGCTGCTGGCAGAGAGAGGAGGGCGATGTCAGTGGGGGGAGAGGGATTTACACACCGTGCCCAACCCCGGGGCTCCCCAGCCCGGCAGAGCCCTGGGCGCGCCCGCTGCAGGAGCTCATGCTCCCAGGAGAACCTGTTGATGAAACTGGGCTGTCAGGAGCTGTCAGGCTCCCTGTTAGTGGAGAATATCCTGCTGGAGCCAGTGGTGCATGGTCCATAATTGTTAGGCTCCTCCCTGGCAAAATTCCTTGTACCTTGAGTTGAACGATGCTGAAAGAGCTTGAGTGCGCAAGGGGGAATGTGCGGATCCCAAAATCTGAGCTCCGAGCAGGACAGAGGAATTGCACGTTGTTAAAGGTGAGAAAAAACCTCCAAAAATATATATAAATGAATTATTTAAATTTAATAATAAATTTGCTTAAGGGAGAACAGCTCCAGTAATTTACACCCGAGTCAAATACCCTTTGAGACAAGCTACAGAAAGAGTATCAGAAGTTAAACTGGAAGCTTCCCTTAGAGAATCAACCATATATGATTTATATACAAATTAATTGCCCACAGATGTATCTATGGGGGATTGCTGTGCTAAGGAGGGGAGGTAAATGGTAGAAATTATGTAAAAAATGATTCAGGATCTAAGCAGATAAAATATCCCCCCATACCCCTCCCAGATTAAAAAGAAATCTCCCATTTGCTGCTCAGGATCAGGCAACCAGACTTATTGATGCATAAATTCCTGGAGGTGCCTGTGCACCAAGACTGGCTGTTGATTATGGTCTGGATATACTTTTGTGTCTGGCTTTATGTCATTTGAACAGATGAAGAATTTTTTTCTTACATAAACCAAAGACAAAAAATATTTTTCTCTCTTGCATATTCTGTGAATATGTGGTTTAGGAGTGCAGGTGTTTTTGACATGGATAGGTGTCAGCAGATAGTTTTCTGTCAAGTTTTCTCCACTCTTTTCCTTTGGGAGACACCACTTGGTGTGTTGCAGTCCCAATAAGTTAAAAAGAAGACAGTGGCTTCAAGCCAGTGCATGTTATCATTGGCTGATGCTTGAGCCTGAGAGAACCAACTAGAAGTATAAAAAAATTAGACAATATATAGTGGGGTTTTTCATAATTTTCTAGATTTTTCTAGGTTTTCCTTAATTTTTTTAATTTTGACCAATGGCTGAGGAAGCTTATAAGCAATTAAGACACACAGCCAAGAAATGGGCTGAGCTTTCACCAAGTATCTTATACCAAAAGAGAAAACCGAGTTTGTTGAAAATTAACTGATGCTGTAGCATTAAATCAAAAGGCTATGGACAACCGAGCTCCTTAATAGTCTTAGTGCAAAGAGATTTGGGGTGTGGGATATGTTTGAGGGGGAGATTCTGCTGATCTTATGGCCCTTGAGCTAGAACTAAACTTCCTCAAACTTTACAAAATTCTGACCATGCTACTCCTTTGTACATTTTTCAGCTCTCTCTCTTGGTAATGCCCAAAAGTGTGCATTCTTACTGGCTTCTTACTAGCCCCATAAGAGCTAAATCTTTCATTAAAAAAAAGTCTCTGTTGGATTCAAAGCTGTTCAATTGGATCCTGAGAAGGGTTTAAACCACACTCAGGCTTCAATTCCAGGGTGTGATCTGCTTCTGGGAGCCAAAAGAAGTGGTTATGAGGACAAGAACAGAGAAGGTGGTTTTGTACATTGTATTTATCTTATTCACTTGTAGCAAAGTTGAGAAAATGAATGGATGACTGGAATAGTCTGGGAAATGTCCTCTCTATGCATCGGTTTTACAGGTGTACAAATACTACAGGGAAAGGAATTTTCAGCCCAGGATGCCCAGGAGGCTGTTTAATTCTCTCACACTGGTCTCACATGCAGTTCTGCTGCTCTGTAGGCTTTTCTGATTTCCACACAGAAAATGAAATTGCTTCTTAAGTTACAGTTGATATTCAATATTAACTCTGTAGGAATTGCTTCAAACTTTTACCTCAGTGGGGCTTATCTCTTGGAAAGGTGCTTGGTAGTTATTTGACAAAGTTGATGAATAAATAAATTTTTGCTGTCAGTTGCTGCATCAATGACATTTTAACAGTTCCCCCAAACAGATGATATTAATTATTATCTCTAAATTTGCAATAAAATCTTCCCATATAAATGCTTAACTAGTCTTGCCTGATTATTGCTCTTGTGGGAGATACTTCAGCATAAGCCAAACCCACATGAATTCAGTTAACCAGGCAGGAACCAGGAATGCAGACCAAGTTTCTCTGCAGCTCACATTGTCTCTCTGATCTTTTTCACTGCCTATTTATGTCCTAATCAGAATGAAATATTTTCACTGATTAATAGTAGAAAATCAAAACCTTATTCAGACTGAGACTGTGTCCTAGGTGATTCAGCTTTATTCCTGCTGCTTACAGTGGATTTGGAACACGCTGGCAGGTACAGAAGCTGCCCATGACACTGAGAAGCTCCTCCAAGGCAGAAAGGGTGGCCTCTCCTGTGAGGTGGCTGCCTCTGCCTTTTATCATGTCTGCTGGCTGTCAGATAATGACTTTTTCTCTTCTTGCATTGACATCCTTATTATAGAGCCAGGATGAGCAAGATTGGATCCCCAGCAGCCTGCAAATTGAGAACGTCAGAAGCAAAGGGAATGGGGCTGCACGAGGGCTCAGCAAATAAATCTTTTCAGATGGGGTGGTTTAGGGTATTATGTTGATGTCACAGCAGCTTGTGTGGCTGCTGTTTCAAATTAACAGGAAAAAGCTTCCAATTTTCATATCCATTGGCTATTTTATCAACACTGATAAACAGCACTGCAGTGAAACAAATCACTCTGAAAGTACAACAGCCAATTTCTGATGGACAAGATATTTCCCCCCTATTTTCTCATATTCCAAGTACTTTGAACTAATACAGCTTTATAAGCAGGACTCAAACCCATTTCTTTCCTAAGGAACTCTGTATTAAGCCTTGGAAATAAGAATGACGAGCATCCTCTTTTACCCATTAAAGTAAATTTACCTTCATAACTCAGATCCAACTCAGGGTGGTAGTGACTTGACCAGGACAAAAGCAGTATATTTTTTCTTTTATTGTGAGAAATTCTGGGTTTTTTTGGCACATAAGTTTCTCATATAGAATTTTTTGGGGAAAAAAAAAAGTAGCGACAATAATTTTTCTTAAGATTTTAAAAAAATCTTATTGGCAAATAATTGTGTATTTTACCTTGGCAGTGTGTCTGCTTAATCTGTGATCTTGATTTCTCATGTCTTTAGGAGTTTGAGCTCTGTGTGAACTGTATCTAATGTTGACTCTCATGGAATTTGGAGCCCAGGCAGGAAACATAATCTGTACTGGGGAAGGTGGGGGAAAAAACCTCCAAAAACACCTCCCCTCCCCCCCCCCCAAACCTTCCACTGAAAAGTTCCTTCCTTACAAACTTTCCTGCAGAGAGGAGATTAGAAGGCAGGGATGAAACTCTTGCTGGCTCAAACAGTCACAGCCAGAGCAGCTGACTTGTGCTCTGTTGTGCCCCATGTGTGTTTATGGGTCTGTAAATCAGTTATCCACCTCTGATGACTATAACATCGGCTCAGATTGATGAGGCTTTGCAAATGCTGAAGTTTTGTGTTGTCCTGGAGTTGCACTGAAGCGTTCAGTGGGCTCTGTTAGCCATCACTTTCAGCAATCCTTACCCTGCTCACGTGGTTTGAAACTCTGGAAAAGAGCTGGAGAACAAATCAAATCAGCTGCAGCTCAGTTCTGAGCTTGAACTGAGGGCCAGGAGCCAGGACCACCTTACATACACACCTCCAGCACTCCTCCTTGAGTGCTTGTGGCTATTTAGAACCCTTCTATTACAATTAATCCTGTTTCCTTTTCCAGCCTCCTCAACATTCTTCAATACTGAGAAAGTTCTTAGAGGAATGGGTGATGTTACTGCTTAGGGAACACTGACAACTCAAATACTGATGTAACTGGTTGTGTGAGGCTAAGATTCTGCTAAGACAGAAAGCTGGTAAATGCTGCAATCCTCAGACCTTCCTTTAACAGCTGGGATCATATGTGATATATTTGGGGCTTTCTTTCGAGGTGATGTGAACTTTTTTAAACAATGAAAGTGGTTTGCAGTGCTGCTCTGCACTCCCACATGAATTATGGGGATGAGGTTGCAGAGTACACAAAGCCTGGAGTATAACTTGCATTATCATTTCTATCTGTAAAAGCTACAGCAGTATTTGCCTGCATAAATCAAGGGGTTTTCTCCTACCATTAAGAAGTGATTTAATAACCTCAGATTTCATATTAATAAGATCAGGATTTCTGCTTAGATAGCTGCAGGAATGTCAAGAATAGCAAACCAGTTATTGATTCCTGGGACAACTTCAATCACCTTTATTCTTTGTTGCTGAAGGAGACAGTGAAATTCAAGGGCACTGAAAGATCTGTAGAAATTAAATGCTCAAACATTACTATTCACAAAAAATAGGGGAGGAATTCCAATTGCTTATTATAGAAAACCCATTTGGTGAAAGGGTTGGTAAATGGAAGTGTATTTATCTTTGGCAGAGCTGGATCAGCCCTAAAGAGGGGAGAACACTCACCCCAATGAAGGGCTAGAAGTGCCTCCCCCAGCTGACAGGCAGTGGGGTTTGTCCTGGAGTAGCAAAACATTCTGCTGCCTAATAATTTCATTTTATAGGTTCCACTTAGTTCCTTCTCCTAAACAATATGGTGTTGGTTGCTCTTTCATTTGAGGTGGCAGAGGAAGGACTTTAAAAACAAACATAACCCCCTATCCCACTGTGGACTTTGAGAACATTCATTTATTCACCTCTTGGTATAAGCTGCAATGTGTATATTGTATTTTAAACAGAAAATGTAGTTTCCTCTTCAAGACCAGTTCACCATGGGGTTAACATCATCTCTAGCAGCTGGGAGGTCAGAAGAGGGCCTGAGCTGGCCCCAAACACAGATATGCTATGAAGGACTGATATTTAGA